TATTTGCATTTTAAAATCTTTGTGGAGGATCTGCGTAATTTACTGCGATCAAAAAGTGTCCTCTATATTTCGAGTGCATGTGTTTGTTTACGTTACGTTTTATGAATGGTGTATGTTGGGTACGTTTGTGGATTGATGTGAACATTGTGTTTGTACAAGGTCAGCTTAACTTAACTCGATGTTTTTGTAACTTGATGTTTCGTTGATTATCATAAGTGTGTTGTGGATTTCATTCATAATTCATGCGTTAGGACACATTAATTTTTTAAACTTGTTAAATAGACCTGAGTTTTTCCTATTTTATAAAATCGAGTCGATGGGTCTTGTATGTTTCTGCTTTTGAGCTCCGTGCGTAAATATCCTTATGAGCTGTAAACGTTTTCTATCTTTTATTTAACATTCATATATTTTTACTCGATCTTTTCGAAATTATTTTGTCATTCAATAATGCATATACACGAGTTGCAGCTGCAAAACGACAGCCGTGACGTTTTGCCTTCAGCAGGTGCAGCTTAGTGTTTTTTTCCACACTATATGTAAAAATTAAGGCCAAAAAGATAAGACCACTTATCGGGTTTGTTTATGATCTTTTGCGGTGGTGAAATTTTAACAACCAAACTTTTGTTTTCATCCTAAATTTTTTTTCTATTTTCGTTGTTTTTTTATAAGATATTGTATAGGAATGTAAGCGATTTGTGTAGATGTTATTTGTGATACATTGGCAACGCTATATGTGAGAAAATTAGGCCAAATTGCTCGCCTTTTTTTCATCTCAATACACGAGTCTTTGCATTGGCGATTACAAATGTTTGTTGAAGATTTTCTGACAATAGTGTAAGTGATATATCATAGTGCTCTATGAACCCGTTCGCTCATGACCAGATAAAGTATAAAATATTTCTAAGAGTTGCGTGAAGTTCTGTGTTGATGAGGTATTTAAAGGAAAATGCACATTTACTGCGCATGCGTTTTGTAAAATTTTCTGCCAAAAGCTTGAAGCATACCGTGGCAATGTTTGCAACACGATAATGCCTTTTTTCGCTCACGATATTCTACAACAATAAGTGATTAGTTAAATTGTTTGATGTCTCTTTCGTTGCGGGATGCATTTGAATAAACAAAACCATTTTCACCTCAAACTCATTACAATTTAAAAGCGCATTGCTGCGTCGATGTTCGCCAAAATTGACACTTCGAAAGGGCGACATTTCTGAAAACCTCGCTTTGAAGACAACTGTTGCTTGTCGATATTTAGACAGTAAGGCAAAAAAGTTTTCACAGACCAGGTTTTAAGTTTGTTGTTTTCACTAATAAAACAGCATCGTATGGAGAATCATCCAATAACATTACAAGGAGAAAGCAATTAATATTCACTGGTTGTCTTATCTCCCACTATCAGCGATAAATGCGTATCGCTTAATGCTTGGATCATGCGCAGTGGATCGGTCGGTGTGTGATCACTGAGTGACAAACACCGATGACGTTTGGTTTCGTGACTACGAAAAATGCTCGATGCTCGTAATTTTGGTGAAGTAAAAATGAAGAAATAACGAGCGAGTGCTCTGGTTTACGACGATTGATTACCGAAACAAGTTGTAGTGTGTGAGTGTGCGTTTTTTTTGTCTTGCTAACTGCATTTCATGTGCAGCAAAGATATGATTTTAAGCGTAGTTGTCTCACTTCTTCTTGGAATCGTTGTATCTTCCAATTATGGTGCTGTACACGGAAATGGACTGAAAGTTTGGACGTTTCTCAAGATGACGACAGATCTTCCGGGGCCTTTCATGATATTTGAAACGAATCTAGCTGGGGGAGTGTTTGAACTGCAGTTCAAAACATTTGTCAAAAATGCATTTATTCTTTATCAAGACGACGGTGGAATTTCTGATCATATATATGTGTTCTTTCAAAACGGAAAGCTGCGATTTTTCTTCTATTTGAGTGCAAACAATGGTCGTATTTCGGTCGAAGGGGATTTTACGACATTGAACTATTATAATGATTTTCAGTGGCACATAATAAAGATCGTAAGGGACGCGAATGCGACGTCTTTTATTGTCGATAACGGCAAGGAGAGTAAAATTTTCAACACGTGCGGTTATCAATCATTGTACGTGTCACATCTGTGGTTAGGAGGATTTAAAAAAGATATGCTGATTAATGATTTATCTAATGCTAATCCTTTTTACCTATATGCCCTTCCGATAAATAAGTAAGTCAATTGATGAAGGTTCTTTGCTATTTACCATCCTTCACATGTGGTACAGTTCATGCAAAAACACAGCATGAGCAAAAGCATTTTCACATATTTAAGTATTGAAAATTTCTGCAGTATGTGCACGAAACATGTAGACGTTGTTTGTTTGTTATATATGTTGTTCATTCCGCGTTTTTAGAGTCATGTATTCTGTTGCTAAACTCGTTTTAAACAAAAATCGTCGAGTCTTTGTTGTAGGTCGTCATTGTTGATCATAACTGTCGTGTTATTGGTAGTTATGCGAACGTTGTTGTCACTTGTTGGCTCTGAGTTTTTTATGTCTGACAGAAATTTACTCTTTGTCACGTTAGCCAAGTTAGCTAGCTATACATTAAAAATATAAGTTGAAAAAACGACTCATTGAACAACGCCATCTCCGAAGATGAAAATCCTGTTTGTATCTCCCTTAGTTGTGGGTCATCGGAATTGCGTTAAATAGTTATTATATTTTATAGAAAGTTGCTTTTAGTTGCAGTTACGAAAAAATATCAACAATACTTTTAGTTATATGTTTTGAAAATGCTTGATTTTTCACAAAAAAGCCTCGTTCTTAAAATGTCTAAATTTTTACTGACATTTTAACTCGTTTTTCTCTCTTTTTCTTTCCTAGACGAGGATATCTTAATGCGTGCATAGGGGAAATTCGTTATGGTAAGACACAAGACAGCATGATAGACATTACAAATAGACCCGCAGAGAAATATCTTGTCGAAAAAGGATGCAATCTAAATTACTGTCATAAACCCGATCCCATTTGTAAGAATAACGGCAGATGCACGCCGGGAACGAATAACGATGTCAATTGTGATTGTCTTTGGACCGGTTTCACAGGCGACTATTGCACAGAACGTAAGATATATTTGATTACTGATATCCTTAATTAAATTTCTGCCCGAAAAATATTTTGCTTCTTACGGTGGCGCAGCCAGTCCTCAAGTTTGGTCGTTTTTTTTAACATGAGACCGTTTGGAAATCTGTTGTTTTTACAGTAAGTGAACGTCTAAATATTTACCTAGAACGAACAAACTTGCTTGCTAGCACTGTATAAGTTACATGCAATAGGACCACTTTGCTGTAAACCTTTTACTGTATATATAAATTATGCTGGCTGCGGTTAGCCAACTCAGTGCTGTTATTGGTCAGATAATGCAACCTGCTAGCTGCCACGTGGTAATCACGTGCGCAATAAGATATGTGCGTCACAATGTAGTTGCCCCACCTACTGTATGTTTCTTATGATGTGGTGCTGGCTTTCTTTCAACGGATATTTAACGTAATATTTAAGGCGCTTAAGTATACCATTCGCCCTATGTTAGGGAATCGGGAATGCAAAAGAATTCAAATCTCGAAATGCAAAAGCAAAAAGAAAGGAATCCAGAACCAACAAGCTTGAATCCTGAATCGGATACCGGAATTGATTCGTGATGTATTTTTTGCGAGCGTTAAATTACACAGTGTGAATGTGATTGGTTGTTGAATATGTCTGACGACATCATCTACCAATGATTTTCCTTTTTCAGTTACTTTTCACAAAAACCCCCATTGGAAATACACGTCGCTGATTTGAAGCGAAACGTGTTTAAGTAGTTCGCGCACCGGAATACATGGTTATCTTATTAACATCAGGAGGGTGAATGTTTCGCTACAATGCAAATTGCGATCTATGCACATGCGCAGCAGCTACTACCACAATCTTCAGATTGTTAGCTTTCATTTAAGAAATAATAGATGTTTACTGTGATTACACAGGCTTATGCAAACCGAGGAGACTTTTGGGAGAACTCGAGAGCAAATCAATGCAAGCCAGAGACCGAAGATCGAGGGTTGCACATGCTCAAGAGTTCTCACGAACGTCTCCGAGGTTTGCATAAGCCAGTGCGAACACAGTAAACATCTTTTATTTCTTTTACAAAATAACAATAATGCGAAAAAAGACAGACATTTTAATTTTTCCTCTAAAATGTATTCATGATCGATTTGCAAATTCTCTTTGACTGATTGATTGTTTAGATTGATTTGATTGGTTGAGCTCAGATGTGCTTTGCACTTGCTAATGCAAACTCAGCTCTAGACCAATCAGCGCACGCGTTTCATTGTGTTTATTTTCTAATACTCGTTGTTTTACAGCTGTTCTTGAGCTTACGTTAAATGGTTCCTACAGAGTAAAGCATATGTTTACAAACAAAGCCCTTAAAACAGAGTCGTACGGCTTTCGCATAAAGACATTACAAGACAACGCTTTGATATTCCACGCCATTGGCCCTGATGCGAGCAAGGATTACACACTTATAGAACTGCAAAAATCTCGCATAAGGTTGACGGCTAATTTTGGAGGTGAGCTTGGTCGATTTTTTCCATCAACAAGAATACATATTGTCGCGAAGAATATTGAATGCGATTATCAATATTTGCTCAAGTGAATAAATTATCACATTGCTAGTAACCACGTGACGTCTTTCTTATTCATTTTGAATGGAAATGCGCTTCCTTTTTGTTCAATCCTTAGTTACATGTAAAGTTTGGACTCGTGAGCACAAAACAATATCATAGCTAACACACATATCCCTACTTTACCCATAGTACCTCTGTGTATCACTGAATACCCTACTCTTTGATTTTCTTAAGCTGAAACTTACGTGTTGGAATCGAGCGACATTGTGAGCGATGGTAATTGGCACACGGTGAAATATAGAAAGACCGTAAAAACGATTACTTTGATCGTTGATTTGAGGGAGAAGCAAGCGGTTGATGAACAAACTTTATGTGAAGATGGACTACAATGGTCTCTCATTTCTGGGAAAGAAGAAAGCTTTAAAGTACGAGATTAAAATACAAGATTTTGTGTGGATGAATGAAGATAGGTCTATAAATTTCGTCAAAGAATTATACGAAACATTCGCCCATGGACAAGGACCACAAAGAATATTTGTTGTCGAACCACAGAATATACTCCCTAAGTTCAATAAGGAACTACCCAATCTCACTCCCAAACCATTTCTACCTATAACTATATCTTATAACGAGTATCCATGTACGGAGAATGAATGTTCGACTCCATCGACAGGTAAATATTTTCATTGTCCACATAACACTTTAAGGAATGAAAGATGTTTACTGCATGTTTGCACAGGCTTGTGCAAACCGAGTAGACCTTCGCGAGAACTCGAGAGGAAATCTGTACAAGCCCCAGACCCAAAGTCCAGAGTTTGTAATGGCTTGAGTGTTCTTGCGATTGTGTCTTCAAAAGACGATAAGAAATCAACGTATTGTCAAAATTTCAGTGCCTGATATTTATTCTAACCCTCCCCCACTCGCTGCATTATTGGGCAGATTTAGCTGTTAGATAGAAGTTATGTCAAATTCTTAGGAGTAGCAAAACTTCAGTGCTTGAAACAAGGATATGTAATATATGTACGTAGTTGACGGTATTTTACACTCCTGTGGCGTACGATGTTGACAGTATTTTATACTCCTGTGGCGTACGTAGTTGACAGTGTTTTATACTCCTGTGGCGTGCGTAGTTGACAGTGTTTTATACCTCTGTGGCGTACGTAGTTGACGGTATTTTGTCTCCTGTGGCGTACGTAGTTGATAGTATTTTATACTCCTGTGGCGTACGTAGTTGATACAGTATTTTATACTCCTGTGGCGTACGTAGTTGATAGTATTTTATACTCCTGTGGCGTACGTAGTTGACAGTATTTTATTCTCCTGTGGCGTACGTAGTTGACAGTATTTTATACTCCTGTGGCGTACGTAGTTGACAGTATTTTATACTCCTGTGGCGTACGTAGTTGACAGTATTTTATTCTCCTGTGGCGTACGTAGTTGACAGTATTTTATTCTCCTGTGGCGTACGTAGTTGACAGTGTTTTTATACTCCTGTGGCGTACGTAGTTGACAGTATTTTATACTCCTGTGGCGTACGTAGTTGATACAGTATTTTATACTCCTGTGGCGTACGTAGTTGACAGTATTTTATACTCCTGTGGAACAGTATAGGGAATACACAGTAGATCCTCTTAATGTGCAACTTGCTGCTGTATATTTAATTCGATGTTTGCCTGCGGTTAGGCAGCTCAACCCTTCTATTGGTCGAGAAAGTAATTGACTGGCTAACACTTTGTTAATCACATGCGTAATAAGATATGCTTCGCACGAAAAACTTCAACGGAGTGGTTGTACTGTATATTAATTATACTGTGGTATAGGTATGGCAGACCTAGATTGTTGACTTATGGTTGATTTCCTGTGGACTTAGTGATGACTAGTTGGACATTACTTTCAAACATTAGCATGATTAGTTTTAAAGTAAATGGTTTGAACCCTGGAGTATCGTTACATGTTTGTAAATGTAGATCCTCCAGGTTGGTGTAGTCCTGAGAAGGACTGTTTTTGTTGTTGTTGACTGACGTTTTGACAACCTTAGTGGTAGTCATCTTCAGAGTCAAATGACTCTCATCAACAACAAAAACAGTCCTTCTCAGGACTATACCAACCTGGACGATCTACATCTACAAACATGTAATGAATAATTTTAGTTGTTATTCCACGATTCCGAGAAAAATTTTATTAGTTCTGGTAAATTGAAATCTTTTGTGACTTTGTCTTAATCATCTTGACCGAAGTTTTCCCTTTTGACACAAATAAATTTTGAGCATCGAAGTTAAAAAATAAAATATTTCTTGTTGGAGTTGTTCTAGTAAGGTGACTCGTTCTCTTTGTTCAGCTTCAGAGATAGAAATGACGACGCCATTGTCCGCCGAGTTTGGATTAAATGATTCTGGAAAAGATGATAAAAGTTCTTCGACGACATGGATTGTTGTTGCTACTGTGGTATGTGTCATCCTTGTTGTTGCCGTCATTGCATTTTTTGTTTACAAATGGAACCTCAAACGTCAGTCTGGAAACTTTGAGGTGCATAAAAAGCCTGTTGCGCCCAGAAATACGATGATCCATTACCAGGAAAGCGCACATCGAAAGAAACAGCAACAAATGCGACTATAATTAATTGAGGTCAGTTTATGCCGGCACGCGTTAAGTGAGCACTTAATTTACCCGCATTGGTAAATTTCGTCAATTTCTCCGAGTTACAAAGCATGCATGTATTTTGCAGATTGTACCCTGGAGAATTTTCATGTTTCATAACTTTTTTCGCTATTGAAACTTTTCCTTTGAATTTTGACATGGAGACTAAACGTTGTTTTTGTCAATGACGCTTATTAGGAACGCTGTGTTGAATTAGCTGCAAAAGTAAAGTTTAGTACAGTTTTCGTAGCTGTCATGTTTTTGTTGCATGTGAAGTCCGCGGTACAGCGCTCAGAAATGCGATCAAGATGATTAATTAAAGAAGTTTGCCATTGCATAAAATAGCATTTTTAAAGAATGAAAGTAAAGTCCCGAACTAGGAAATTTTTCCCAAAAATTTTACGGCATTTAAAAGGAATGATTAGTATCCTTTCCAATGTAGATCAATAAAAGTAAAATCAATATATATATATATGTATTTTAAATAAAGTTCAATCCATGCAGCTCTTGGTATGGAAATCCGGGCATGAAAACGTTTAGTATATCATTGCTAAGTAAATTATAATAATTATTATATTTATACTTGATGAGCTATTTATATAATTACGATAAGTAAACATTTATTATAATGATCATCTTAAAATTTAATGTTATTGTAAGCATTTATCAGACAACCTTTCAGTACTTTTCGTATTTCGTCGACATATTCAATATGCACTCGCGCTTTCAGTCTCGTCGCAGCCAGCAGTAACAAAACCAGTTGGTTTTTTTACACCTACAATAAAAATGTTTTCAGTCTGTTCCATGGAAAAACAACGGATGGAATTATTTCTCTAAAGAAATGTATGATGATCACATTAAGAATTTCGCATTGTGCCATTTCCTTCTCGAGAACCAAAGGTCTGGATACGAAGTTAACACGATTAATGTCAATAATTTATGAATACTGCTGCGTATGCAACTTCAAGCTATTTATTCAGGGGGGGCAGAACCATAAGAATCATGGGTTGCTTCCCCCCCCCGAAAAATCGTTTCATTTAATACAGGGGTCTCCAAACTACGGCCCGCGGGCCAGATGCGGCCCGTTGGGCCTCTCAATCCGGCCCGCAGAGGCACTTAAGAAAAATAATAATATTATTAAACAAAATAAACTTTGTGCAGAAAGTTCACGTTATGTCGCAAGCCAACTAGCAAGAGTGGCTTACGTCAATTTTTCTCCCAACTTCCCACTTCCGTTTCAAGTACATTGCGAAATTTAAAAAGCTGAAGGATAATGTGGAAATTTTTTATATTCTTCGGCCCTCAACATGCTGGATGAAAGTTCATGTAGCCCTCTGGCTGTAAAGTTTAGAGACCACTGATTTAATAGCATATACTGTTTGATTAATAAAAAAGAAGAAAACGAAAATTTTGGTAACTTGTTGCACTGTGGAAAGCCCCTTCGACTGATCTGTGAATTGATTTGTTTTGCCCCCCCCCCCAGGAAAAAGTAGTTTGTTTTCGTCACGCCTTTTTTCATTATTATTCATGCGCATATTCGATGAAGACGAACCTTTAAAGTTACAGATACGCCGTGAAACGATTTGAGGTCTTTCTTTATTCAACATTCAACGGGTGAATTTTCGCCGAGTCTCTTTTTATTGCTCTTGTTGCGTGTTGAGGAGCACATTCGTGCTAACTTTTCTCGTTTTGTGAATAAATATCTCAAAGATTTTCTGTATTGACGAAGCCGCCATGCGTAGACCAGCGGATTCAATGCAAAATTTAATAGCTCAATCGGAAAGAAATTATTGATAAATTTCAGCAATCCTTCCGGAACGTCGCGTTTCATGAACGTGGTGTATGTAATGTAGACTAGCGTTGCTACTAGATAGGGTAAAACAGTAAAAACTAGAATACCCACAAGAAGTAGCACAACATTTGTTAGTTTATCTTGTTGAGAACTTATTGATTTTTCTGTGCGTTTCTTTCTTCTTCTGTCGAAAAGTTTGTCCGCTTTCTTTCGTAGGAAGCTTCCTCCATCACAACCCCAAACAATTTTTTGCTTTTTCTTTGAATCGCTCTCAGACGTGTTATCATTTTCCACTTTCTTGTTCTGGCTATCTGGGTATTTTTCATCTTTCAAAAGTATTTCCGTTACTTCGCTTTGACTGGAGCTCACGTTATCCGTTATTTGTAACGACGCCGGAGCTGTTTCTTTGCTAAACAATGCTGTTGTGTTTGTCTTCGTGCTGCTCGTGTCGCTTTTGGAAGTGGATGCTCTTTGTAGGCCGGATGCATATCGTGATGAGGACGTTCTTCGAATGGTCGATCCTTTATGTAATTGTCCGCTACCTTCAACTAGCCGCTGCGAGTTGTGGATGCCGAAAATTATGAACGTGTATAGGATTATAATGATGAAAACGCTCAGGAAAAACTCACAGAGAATGGCAAATTGCACGTAGACTATGAAAGGAGGAGGCAGCCTAACCAATCCCCCAAGAATTGTTGATATGCACCAAATACACGCAATCACCATAAGCACACGCTTCTTCGTGATCCACACGCGACAGTAGATGGGATACCTCACGATGAGAAAGCGCTCGAACGACATTGCTAACAACGTGAGGAACGAGGCTTGAATCGTTATCCAAAATAGACAGAGGAGATACAGTTTGTGATTTTCGTTCAACGCCAGGATTTCGTCCAATCCCATTGCGCAGGCGTTCATGCCGGTCAGCAAATCAGCAACAGCCAAACTTATTATGAAATAAGTTGTCGACGAATTGAAGTAATTCAACGGATCTTTTAGTAGAGTAAGAAGTAGAACACCATTTGTCAACATTGACAGCAAACCGACCGTAAAAACAGATGCATCGATGTAGTTCATTGCGTTTTGTCGTTGTGTTGTTTATACTGTTTAAAATGAATTGACTTAAAATGACTTTATTTTGCAGTAGGTTGGCGGCGTTTCTTCGTGAACTAGAGGAATACTATGCTTAATGCTTCATTTTCTGAGCTGTTCTTGCCTTCTGAAAGAAATACCAATGTATAAATTAAGTTACGTATTTTTCACGTCTGTTGCTACAATGCAAATTTTTCATCGAAATTTTTATTCATATCTGTAGAAACTTAATTCCATTCATTTTTTTCCATAAAAGTATTGTGTATTGTGAAAATATACTGGTTGTCTTCGCTACTGCTAACAAATACATCTGCTTGTATGTTGCTTTTATTTATCAATGTTAACTGATCTTAATTATATTCATGAGCTGTGGACGTAATTTGTCACATTCGGTTCAATGGCCGCTTGGTTTTGAGAGAAAAAATCTGTTAACGTCACTCAAATTTCAACCTTTCCACGCCAGACGAAAGGTGCTTCCTTTTGGTCAGTTTTAAAAGGCTTATAGAAGACTTGCCTCGTTTACGTTTTGTTGGCAGGCAGATTGGTCACGATTGAGGTGTATTTAATGTAAAGCCAAGTTAGTATGCTCACTGGTTAACCCTTTCTGTGGCAGTGTAGCAGATCTGCTACAATCACCAAACAAAATGGTTTCTTTAAAGGGTTACTTTAATACAACACGATGTCGTACTTGCACCGAAATCTTTGTCAAACTTGTGCAGCACAACGCACGCTACAAGATACTTGGCGAAATTCTCTGCTGGTCGAATTTCGATGCACTACAGATATGGCTGTTAACGTTTTGTTTAATTAACCCTTTCTATGGAAGTATAGCCGATCAACAATCACCAAAACGAAATGGCAAAAGACTTTGAAAAAATCGGAGGATAAAAAGTATTTGATATCTTTACTATGAGCACTGTAATTCACAACAGCAAAGTTTTTACACAAAATGCTACTCACATAAAAGTATGCTTCTCTATAACATTTTGTTAGCCGAATAGCAGAAGGTTTCTTTAACGAACTATTCGTAATTTTGACTTCAGATAAACCTTCGTTAATGAAGCATTTATGAAGGCTACTTACCACTAACACACAACAAAAATTGAAGTTAGTCCAGTGGAATTGATTAAAAAGAAAACAGCGTGCGTGGAAAAGTGTTTAACCAAACAAACAGCGTTCCAATATTTCTTTCGTAGATTATGGTGTTGCCCGCACTAATGAACACGACTAAATGTTTAAAATTCTACAAATTATGTGATTAAATATATAGGGTCGAATAACTGTTTGTTACCAAAATAAATCACTAAAATGGCTATCTTATCTATGTCATCAGCTATACGTGAGCGATATACAGACAATAGTTTGAATTATGTATGACAACGTTTGTTTAAAACTGAAAGAAACATTCTTCTTTTTTGAGTTCACGAATAAAGGGATAGAAACTTGGATGTTGCCTCATGCTGATTTTGTGAATTCTTTCTGCTTTTAAATCGAGAGTGTTTGAGCTTTCCACTTGATTTTCCATCAATTTCCTCTGAATTTTATTTCATGTTGCAGTTGAGAGAAATCTACTTGAATTATGTTGAACATTTGCAAAAAAGGTTTTATTAATTTTCCCCGGTTCATTTATTTTAAAATTATTAAAGACGCGACCAAAGACAAAGCTCAGGAATTTACATAGTTATGCTATAATTTGGTAGTCCGGCTACCACAGGTGCCCGGCTAACGTCAATACATTAAGCGGTGCAAATTTTTTCTACATCATAGCAAGCTACTACGCATGTGCTGACTGATAACGCGCCGGGCGTCTGAAAAATATTGTCTCATAAATTTCAATATTTATTGTTTCGAGTCATTTTGAATGCAATCACCAGTAATCACTAACATCTTAATAGCATTGCCTTGACCGTTTAGAAAAAGGGTTATTTTACAAGATTTTTGGCATTACGTGTAACAAGCACGATAACACGAAATATTATTTTTTGTCAATGTGACGAACTGAGAAGTACCTTTCTAAACATAGGTATTTCATAGTCAATCAAAATACAAATACTGCATGGCTTTAATTCCCATAACATTTTCCAACAGAGATTGTTATCCCACTCAATAGATGTAGACAAATTAACATTATGGATGTTGAAAGCGTTGTCGCTCATTGACAGAAAATTTTTGCACAATTTAAGCACTTATTTTTCGGCATACCGCAGCTTATATGAGTTTTGCTTTGCGCTAAACTATCTACATTTTGTTAAATTTGAACGTGGCTAATAATTGTTTGTGGATTGTAAAAAAATATTCTTACGGGCAGTTTTGGTTTTCACTTTGTTTGTCGATTCCAATGGTTTATGAAAATTTTATCAAACACTTTAACATCTGAGGAAATAGTCAAATTGGTTTTTGAACTAAATGACAAACTTTCGATCGAATAAGACATTGTACTCACCTTCTGTATTCGTAGTTCATGTTCTTGCGGTTTGATTGGTCTGGTAATGTGGCCAACAAATGATTTAGACTGAAAATATATAAAAGCTCTAGCTTAATTGCCTGTTTCGATCAGCTTTCGGAGCCAGGTGCAATAACATCTGTTATTCTCATCCGTGGACACGGATGCATCGTTATAATGTCCATTATGCATCGAAGTAATGTCTGAGTACCATCTAATTGATACTCGAGGAATATTTTCGGCGACGCTTAACCTCACCGTATTTACATGCAAGTATGTTTCTTACAGAAGCGTTTTGAAAATGGAATGCGTTTCGTTGAATCAATGATACCAACACGAAGTTGTCATCCACATATTATGTAATAACATAACTCTACGATTATTGAACCGAAGTAGATTGGAGCGATCTTATAATGATTTAGAATTAAAGTTCTTTTTTATTTAGAGAAAGTCTATGGGTGTGGCTGTCACATGGGCTCCCACCGGGTATTTATACATACGTTGCATTCAATGCCTGGTTTAATTTAGATAACTTTTATTTGCAATCTTGGCAGTGTAGCACAAATATTCTTTGTTCTTTTTAAAAAGCACCAACCCTACATTAAAGTCTGGCGTCTGTGGTGTCCTTGGCTAGGGCGTATACGAATTCTGTTAACTATACTATAAAACATATTTTTCTATGATACATCCACGGTAAAAGATGTATTTTGTAATTTGCAAAGTTTCGTACCTGGATGACCTCTATATTTCCTGGAAGCTCTTTGTGAAATAATATTGCGATGTGTTTACCCGTTTGTCAAACTAATTTTATTGCGTACAATATTTTCTATTGTCTTTAATATTTTCAGTATTCAGGAAGACATAATACTGCATTTCTTAAAGGTTAAGTTTATTCAAATCACGTCAATCGTTGTGAGGTTTTTAATTTTTTTCGTCAGCATATTCTTGTCGATGAGATTTCATAATTTTTCCGGAGTACATAGGAAAACATATTGCGTATTTCTTGCTATACAACACCGTGTTTTAACGATTCCTTTTTAATTATTTTTATGAAAATGGCAAAGGGCAGGATTCTTAAAACCAATTTCAATAATAATGCATTAATTTGGGTCGCGAACGAATGGTTTAATCAACGTAGACATAACGTGTTTATAGTGAAAAAGCCAATTCTTAAGTTCACTAATCGACATTATTTTGCATCATAATCACCTGTATTAAGAGTTTGAGCAAGAATCGTAATTAGGTTTTTAATGAAACATTCAAAACATATTAATATCGTTGAGTTTGGTCTTTTGCTCATGTTTGGAAGTCCTAAAGCCTTCTGCCATCTAAGGAGCTGTACAGATGAGCCCATGTAACCGGCGTGAAATGATTTTGAGTAATTGAAAGGAGTAAAATGTTAAGCGCAAAACTTAAAACCTTTTTAAGCGTCATAAGTCATTTTAGTTGTAATTTTCAAATCAGACTAATTTGTTTGTTTTTCTTTTAAAGATTTTGTGATATTGCAAAGTCAGAGCATAGAAATTGCTCAAATAAGTTTTGTTGTGAAGTATTTAATCTTTTCATTTGCTAAAATGATTTAACGCTTCGCTGAATTCGTGCTACCCGGCTCATGAGAACAGCCCCTAAAAGCAGTTCATTTATGTATAATATATGTCTCTTGGCGATTAGCGAAAATCATTCTGTATGGAAAGTAATTTTCTTCACGCAAATTAATGAAACATGCTTGCTTGTCGCACTTAAAGGCCGTTTTACGATTTTATCTTAAATGTAAATTCAGGAGACGAAAGGTTTTTACCATGTTTTTATGTGAACATTTCATAATCTTAATGGAAAACATACGACAATTGTTTATTTATGTAATTGCATGTCAGTGACTACATTGATTTGATTGCGGTTTGCTATAACAATAGATAAGAATTGAAATAACAAGAACGCTTACACGAAAAATGCGTCATACAAGATAAATATAGCTTACATCGTCAGGAAAACTATTTTCCGAAGGCAATTTTATAAATCGAAAATCGTATGTTATCTTGTCTTTTTTTTTATTTCTAGATAAATCGCATAGATATTTATTTAAGTTTGAGAAGCATGTTGGCTGTATGTGATGACGTGAATCCCAGCAAGGCCACCATGCTTTATCTAGATGTATGAAAAAGTCTGCGCGGAACATTAGTTAAAAAAATCGACGTCAACAGGGATTAACACTAAAGCTAACATGGATTAAAACATTGTTTCATGTTTCATATTTCATAAGACGCGATTTCTTAAAAAGTGAATTCCGATTCTCTGTTTTTCGTTGCTTTCAAACACAATTTTCACCTTATATAGCTACTGACAATCTTGCCTTCGGGTGGTGGAAACGATTCATTCTCAAAACACTATGCTCTTGAGTAATAATAAAAAAACAGCACTCCTTACAATACCTTAAGAAATGTTATCATTTACTTATTTTAACCTTTTTAGGTTATAGATGTCTAGTGAGATTTCTCGTGCTCGCGCAGTACTTGAAATTTGCATCTAGCATTTGCATAAAGGGCGAACGCTTTTCACTATACTATTACGAACAATCAACACAAAATATACTGAACACTATCTTTTTCATTGTGTTTAAAGATATTTTTATCGTTTCATACTTGCGTGAACCTTCTGCTGAGCATACAACATGCAAAGAAACATTTTTCAAAACATCTTGTAAAGTTGTCATCGCGAAAGACTTGTGTTTTTCACAAGTCTTATTGCTGGAAAATTATGTGTAAATAACTTATTAATAAAGCTAATTCGCCGCCGTCGTATAAAGTTAGCTTACGTAAATCAGAATTTTTCTCTCAAACCAAAAGAACAGCTATATGTTTACTACGGTGGGCAATCATATTTTGTGCATTCTTTTCTCTAGAATGTATAATTGTTTGCTTGATTTTATATTTGTTAGGTGAGGATATCTGCGCTTGATTGAACATGAAATTACTACAGCCACACCTGTTGATCTAAAGACCATAATTGTTTGCCTTTTTTTCTCTCAAATGTAGCGCTGTAAAATATTGAACGTTGTACCATAAGATATAAGAAAGCGTTCATTATTCTTATGTTCAAAAGTGGTCATGAGCCTCGTTTTAATGTGAAAAATTTGACGCACACTGAAAAATAAAGATATTTGAACTATTGTGTCAGAAACACATCGTTCTTTCTTAACACCTTATTTAAACATTACTCCCATTACAAGTGTAGAGAAACAAATATTTTACCTTTAATAAGTTTGCGCAGGTATTACATATCGTCGTTGCTCAGACTTTCACCTTTCATCGTTTGAGTTATGCACGCAACGGAACAGTTAAACGAAATCACGTTTCTTTTTCAGCAGGCATATATTTGTACTAACGGAAACGATTACCTGTCATTTGACCGTTTAACAGCCTTTTGGTTGAGCGAAGGTAAACTTTTGCACAGATGGATGTTAACACAATAATGACACAACAACACAATAATCTTGATGAAACAGCTCTTATCTCCCATGCTAGTGTGGAAGGCTGTTTAATAAAGAGTCATAAACGTCAAAGGTGCTTTGGCAAAACGGGGTTATGCTCCAAAAAAAGAATACTGTGCTTTTAAAGCAGCATAATTTCTACGGGATCCTAGCAGTCATTTCCTGTATTTGTGCTATTCAAAGATTTATCCCCACTGATTTTTTGTAATCCAAACATGTGTTAACATTTCATGTTACTAATGAACTCATCTGGCAGTTTATTTTGATTGAAATGCCTCTGAGAGTTGATAAAATATAGTGAAAAACACTGCGAGGAACGAAATAATTAAAATTTCCTTCCCGATAATTTATTTGTTAAGTGACAGTGATCCAATAAAATAATTTTAGAATCTTATCAGCAGATGGCTTCTGTTGTGATTTTAATTTCGTGTCACTAATTTTAACATACGTCACAAATTTTTGCAGTCTTTTTGTCACATTTACATTTTTTGGTGATGGATAACGGCGAGTATTAAAATGCTTCCATGCAAGTACTATGTGCTTGGCTGTCAAGATGAGTAAACAGGAGCTCAAAGTAAAATGGAATACTTTTAGCTACATCTACGTTGAAAGGTCTAACATTAGAATATCAACTATCGACGGGAGGAATTTTATTGAATTTTCTGTGAGAATGAAGAATGTTTAAAAACAAAGTAAAAATTTTCAGCTCGTGACCGTGACGTCATGTACTGGACGGGCCGTCGTCGCCAAGTGACGTCTGAAGGCATGTGCAATCTTGTGCGCAACACGTGATTAACTCCAAACTCCCACGCAGTTTCATTGTGGCCAAGCGAAACTTAGTTACTTGAACGGTTGAACTTACTTACTATATATTATGTGTATATTACATTTAGTTTTAGACTGTATACTGTATGTTATCTGATTAATGATATCCATAAAAAATCGTTCATTAGATAATCCAGGTAATTTAACGACGGTAAAAAAATCAAAAAACGAGGTGCCGTGACCAGGATTCGAACCTGGGTTATTGCGGCCACAACGCAATGTACTAACCACTATACGATCACGGCTCTTGATATCTGTCGTAGAAATAAATATATAAAACTGTGTTTATTAACCAAAAATAACTTCTTTCAAAATGTGAAGAAATTGCTATATGGTAATGATGAAGTTCTTCGACTGACTGAACACTCTGATCAGTCACGTACAACTTTACAAAATGTTGAAGACGGGAAATGGAGGATAAGAGAAATCCAAATGGGTAAATTAACTGTATTTATCTATTGTCATCTTGGTGAAGAAACTAAGTTCTCGCTTCGTATTTTTTAGAACAAAATTGCTGTCTGTTGTGGACCGATTATCTTGTCACAGTCATATTGAATCTTCGGTTGGTATAATTCTTATGAGAGCTTTTGAATATTGATTGAGAGTTAAACGTAACTGTCTTGCTCATATATGCTTTATAAAGGAAGGGCTAATCATAATCCCAAAAAAACGATACATTTCTTTGTCGTTTTGTGTATCCCACATTTGAAAAGAAGTTCTCCAAACAAAAGTACGATTTTTCAACTTGCAGCAAATGTTTTTGTGAGACAAGGATCTAGCAATGAATACATAATTTCATATTAAATCAGTGTATCAACAAATATAAAATTTTGGCGAATGAACCTTTCCTTATTTTATTATTTACACAAAAGTAACCCATTGTAATACTTCATTTATAATACATTTAAAATAAACGACAAAATCTTTTGTAATAAAAATGTTTCGAAATACGTTAGGTCATCTTTAGTAAGGTCGAAACATTTTAGTTGTAAAAATTTTAGTTTATCTTAAATGCATAATTAGATCTGGTGCTTCTGTGATAATGAGGAAACTTCATTTATTAGTTGTGCAAAATGTGATGCTCTAGGGTTCAACATATTATACTTGGCATAGACAGGATTTGTGAAAAAGCTGGGCAAAGAACTTAGGACATGCCAAAAAAGCAACTATGTGCTATAAATTTGAAAATGTCTTGAACAAAGGGGGAGCAATTAGCACTTTGCCAATGCCTGAGTTATTGCTTATAAAGCACACTTATTAGCAATAACTTTAAACATTCCTGAATAATTCACTAAGTGTATTGCAAGAAATTGTCCAAATACTTAACAAATAATCTTATTCCTTCAGAAAACTGATATTCCACAAACTGCCAGCACTTTGTACTGTAGCTCAAGAAATGAAAACGTGATAGTTCAAAACAATGCCACGTTTTATAAAAATATCAATTTCCATCAATACTCTAATTCTGCTAATAATCCATACGCAAACCTGCAAATGACATTGAAACCAGGTGCTCCAAATGGCTTGGCAAAACCCTCTGTTTGCTTTTGTAAAAACAATGTTAAAAGTAAACCTGAAGAAGTTGGTAAGAAGTTGATCAAATGCAATGGCAATGTTAGTAGTGTCCATTCAGCCAATCTCTCAGAAGATAATGAAATTTTGAAGAAGCGTTATGTGAAACCTGGCTATCATGAAAGTAAATTCCAATTGTATGAGAATGTGTTGCTGAAAGATGGTTTTAAACTATCAACTATAGGTAAGTATGTTTTATGCAAAATGAGTATAGTTTTGAGGAAATGGACTTCTGAACAAGTTGAAGATGTTGATAATAAATGATTGTTTTTTTACACAGCTAATATTGGTGAGAAAATTAAGGAAAATCACATAGTTGTAGGAGAAAGCGGTGATGTTCAACAAGTTGGACAGATATTAAGTAAAGAAAAATCGGCAAAAGTAGATACCACCAAACCACTTGGCATTGATTGGAGAACGCAAAACACCCTGAAGACAAAGATCTTGTCCCTGGAGTTTGTCTAGAAGAGTTTCCATATGTACTGAGTTTGGAAAGGCATCAAGGGGAAAGGTCACTATCTTTGCAGTAATTGTGGTGAAGTTTTGCCAACTGAAGAGGCATTTAAAACACATCGTGACAAGAGTCTATGCAAGCTGATTCAGTGTCCATTTTGCAGCATGAAGTTTGTTAATCGTGACGAACTTGAAGATCACAAGGCTGTCGTGCATTTTAAATGTCTGGAGTGTAATAAAATTACGAGAATGCTGGTATGTCAAAATTCTAACTGTATTTTGAAAGTAAAAAAGTATTTTAAAGTAACCAAAACTGGCATTTTCTGCAAAGAAATGTGTGTCTGAATATGAGAAACATAGCTACTGGAGGGTGTTGAGGGGAAAGGTGTTGGTGGGTAGAAGGTGTTGGAAAGAAGGTGTTGGGAGAAGGTGTTTGTGGAGAAGGTGTTGTGGAGAGTGGAAGGTGTGTGGAGTGGTGAGGTGAAGAAGGTGTGGGTAGAAGGTGTCAGGTGAAGGAAGTGAAGAAGGTGGTGATGTGGTGGGTAGAAGGTGAAGCGTCATCGCGTCGGCGCGCATCGGCATCATCGCGCATCATCCGCGTCATCGCGCGAAATCATCGCATCATCGCGCATCGCTTTGCGTCATCATCGCATCATCGCGAAATCATCGCGCATCGCTTTAATCGTCATCAAATCATCCGCGTATCGGCAAATCCGGCGCGTCAAATCGGCATCATCGCGCATCATTTTTCATCTTTTCATCATCGCGCGATAATCATCCCGCGATCATCGGCGCGTCATCGCGCATCAAAATCCGGCATCATCGCGCGAAATCATCATAAAATCATCCGCGTCATCGCGCATAATCATCGCGCATCATCGCGAAATCGGTCATCGCTCGTCATCATTTCATCGCGCGTCGATCATCGCTGAAAATCTTTTGATAAATCGCTTTTTTGAAATCAGATCATCGCTTTTTTGTCATATCGCGCTCGTCATCGCGAAATTTTCGTCATCGTTAATCATCGCGCGTCATCATCATCGAAATCATCCGCATCATCGCGCATCGCGCATCATCATCGCGTCATCGCATCATCGCGTCATCGCTTTTCATCGCATCATCGCATCGCGCATCGTCATCGCGCATCATCGCGCGTCATCGCCTAAAATCATCGCGAATCATCATCCGCGCATCATCGCGCATCATCCGCGAGAAATCATCGCGTCATCGCATCGTCACGCGAAATCATCCGAAATCTAAATCGGCATCATCGCGCGTAATAAATCGCGCATCGTCGGCAAAATGTCATCGCGTCATCGCGAGATCATCGCGCATCATCGCGAAATCATCGCGCATCGCGCGTGGTCATCATCACGAAATCATCTTTGCGGAAATAAATCGCGAAATGGTCATCTTTTGCGAAATCATCATCGCTGCGAAATCGTCATCGCGAAATAATGCATCGCGAATCGTCATCATCAAATGTCGCGCATCATCGGCATCATCCGCACGATCATCATGAAAATCATCGCGTCATCACGCATCATCGCGCGCAATCATCAAAATCAAATCGCGTCATCCGCGTCATCGCGAATCATCCGCGTAAATCGCGCATCATCCGCGCGAAATCGATCATCATCGATCGTCGACTCGTCATCTTTAATCGCGTCATCATCGCGTCATCGCGTCATCAGTCATCATCGCGTCATGAAAGCATCGCATGTCGAATAATCGCGTCATCATGTTGGTGAAGAGAGGTGTTGTTGAAGAGAAAGTGTTTGTGGTGAGAAATGTTGAAAAGAAAATTTGACATCTTTTGTGTCCGTCTGTAAATAGTGAGATGTGGGTAGGTAGACCTTATGTCGTCATTAAATATTAAACTACTGTAAAATTTTTTCAATGTTAAATACTGACGTCAATCGTACGTTAATTGAACGGGACCATATTCATATATTCTGCTATTCCTGGCTAATTTCTTTTCGGGCCAGCTCGTCTCCATATAATCAGGCCCTAAAGATTCATTATTACGTAAACTTAGATAAGTTTAAACTGAATCACCTGACCTATAGACGAAATAAAAATGTTTATCAAAACAACAATCTACGGTCGCGTGTTCATCGGCAACATCATAGATGGTACACTCCCTCCCCTTGATTTCCCCTACCACCCACCCCCACGAGAAAGATAGGTTAGTGGTAATCACATTTCTCCTGAAATAGGCGACCCACTCCTCTACCATAACTCTCTCTAAATTATGTTGTTTTGTTTATAGAAAAATTGGCAGCTCACAACGAAAGGAACCACAGTCCGCCTTATACATGCCTTCAATGTGGCGTTGAATTTCCCACTTTTTCCCAGTGTAGGAAACATGCAACTCGAGCGCACAAGAAAAGGTTTTTCTGTCCCGATTGCGGACTTGGTTTCACGAGAATGAGCGTTCTAAAACGCCACTCGCAGTACACACATACTAAACAAAGGAATTTTAAATGCGAGGTTAGTTTTTTAAAATTTTACTTTAAGGATTTACAATCATTATTGCGGAAGGGAACACAACTGAAGACATGTGACTTGCTGACACAACATACATGTAGAACTAAGTAGTAACATAGCAGGCTGTAAGTTTCGTATTTTTATGTAGAAATCGCCATGCTCACTGACAGTAAAAACATATTTTGAAAGAAACAAATAATGCTGAAGATCTGAAAATTACATCGTACGACAGTACTTGAAGACTGGCTACACCATTTAGAGAGAATGCATTATTGTAATATACAACAGTTTAATTCGCTTCCCTGTTGAACTTGAACTGTCATAGTTCTCCAATTTATGTCGAGGGCCTAGCACGAAACTGACTGTCGCCCAATCAACTGACCTCTTAAGAAATTAAAATAATATTTTCTGTTTTATTAAAATGCCGCGATCGTCAATAAATTGTTATAAGCAAGATCTTGTGCAACATCAGGCAACTTCTATCTCGTGAAATCACTATTTTAAGCTAGCTTTTAGGACGTGCAGCTACTCTACTGATGATTGTATGTTTCACCACGCTTTGTTATCACATCTTAAAAGCTTTCTTTCTTTCACAGATTTGCAGCAAGACTTTTAAAAGACCCGACGCTCTGAAGATTCACATGATAACCCACGCTGACGTTAAGCCCTTCCGTTGTAACGAATGCGGTAGACAGTTCAACCAAAAGGTTTGTTATACCAAACATCTACCTTGCAAAAAAGGTAAGGTGAAAAAAGTGGCTTCTGAAAGTAAATGCGATGAAAGCGGCAACGAGAGTGCTGAAGCTAAAAAAGTTCAAGAAAAAGAGGCCAAGTGTGGAAGAATATCGTGCAAAGGTGATAATGTTTTTGGTGAAAGTCGGCGTAAGATTTTCGATGACAGTTTAGTCGGAGCTGATAGAAACGAAAAAGAAAAACAACACGATGCATTAACGAGTGCTGCACTTCTTAAAAGTAGCATTGATGAATCTTATGACAAAACAGTTGAAGTTGAAGACGTCAGTTGTCGCTGTCCACCAACGTGCAAATGTAAGAGGTTTTCTTTGTCGCTGGAAGTACAGACCAATGAAACAATTGGATCTTTATTCAGGTCCTCGAAGGAACTATCTTGTATCTCGTGTTGTTGCGATACCGACACTCTTTTCAATCAATCGCAATGCGGGCACTCTTGATCTGCTCAGAATTTCATTTTTGGCCATCCAAATCCAAGTTCTAACTCCGAATCAGGCTGCTTTGTATTTTATTAGTAAATTGTGGACGAAAATATCAAGGTGAAACCTGCATAGGTTTACATTTGGTCATAAATGTATGTTGAACATTAATTGAAATATCTAGAAATGCGTTTTAAATTTATTTTTGCATAAATAGAATTCATTTTATACTTTTTTTCACATTTTGTGTTCATCTGTACTTTGCTTGATGTTCGGGTAGTTCAGATCTTCAGAAGTTCAACCTTAATCTGTACATGACGTATTCATCTGTTTTCAAATGTCAGCTGGACAGTTTGACTGATGACTCATTTTGTATTCTAGTTTCCATGCTTCTCCCTCCTCCGTTCTTTTTTCGTACGAACTTCAACAAACGTGTATCATGTTAGTAGAATCCATCGAAATACAACGTTTCATTTTATGCATCGATAATGTTTGTGCCTTTCAATTATCGAGTAATGTCTCATTACATTCCTTTTATCCTTTATTTATTAAAATAGTAAGGAGTTCCGCAAGAAAACCATGTCTGACGCGGAAGGGTATGTACTGAGTTTCTATCTTCTGATATTCAAGTATTAAGATGTAAGAACGAAAAAACCTTGTGCCCACTTTAGATACTATGATAAACATTTATGAAATAAGGAATTTACCATGATACTTTGTTTTGTTATAACACAGCATCAAGTATGCGAACAAAACTTCATTAATATAATTCATGTCACTTGGTGCCCCTCCCCCCGAGTTTTATTTTATCTTCCAATGATGATAAATCCGCTCCCTCTGCTGAGTTTGATTGATGAAAAAAGCGTAACCGGAATCGATTATTATTCTGAGGAAGATAAGTCTAGAATTCAGTTTACTAGACACAAGGCAGTACCCATTTAGCTGTGACCATGAAGACTGTGAATCACATAGCAGTACATAGGGGGGAAAATTACAAACAACAAGAACACTCTCTGTTCTTGCAGTGTTTTTCTTAAATGAGTGAAAAAGCAATGTTATAAAAGTTACCTTTACGGTTAGTGTTACATTTATGGTCAGGTCAGGCTTTCGAAAACTTGAAATAGAATCTAAGCTAATAACTTATTCAAAGTTTAACTTGCTTGACTTTCTGTCCTGTGCCTATGGCTTGTTTCTGCAGGTTTGCAACATAAAGTGTATGCTAAAATGCCTTAAACCAGTGGATAATTATTAAAGAAGATACATTATTTTCAAGATATAGCACTTTGTATTAATGTGGTTTTTGTGAATTTTATTTTATTATGGCAGAGATGATATACCAGCCAGTGGTTTAATGCCAGTAAATGATGCCTTAAAAGAAGTATTGAAAACGGCTTTGTGTCACGATGGTTTGGCCAGAGGATTACATGAAGCTTGCAAAGCTTTAGATAAGTTAGTTTTATTTACAGCTTTTTTAGTTTTGGCTTTTTATTTGGTGATACTAAATTAGATATGTGCAGATTATTGAAATAGCCGATTAATTTATATATTTGGTCAATTAACTGGCATAAGTCGATTATTACCATGTTCTTGCTTTTTAACAGTTTGGGAGCAATGTATTGACTACTTCGTTTGTTTTGTTTCTTCCTCTTTTTTTGAGGTTGTTGTTCATTTTGATTGACATTGTTCTTATTCAGCGTCCAGTTTGAATAACTTGAATTGTATCTGTTGTAGCATCTTCAAGTGTTAGGTTACAAATATATGAGCATTTGACAAATTACTGATAAAATTCGAGTTGTGCTGTGTTAATGATGTTAGCTTGTTTATGTTGTGCTAATCTTTGTGTTTCAACAGTTTTATTTGTTTCTTTGCCAAAGAACTGAACACCTTGTTTGAGACATTTTGCCATTTTTCATTTCAAGAGTATAATAACATAATTAATTCAAGAATGTAACTTTGCCAGCAGAAAGCAGCAATAAAGACAATACAATTTGCTTCACGCCTCATAACTAAGGAATTTGGGCTATTTTCATTCTTTGTATTATGTTGTGTTCTGCATTAACAGTTTTAATGCCCAGTTTCTTTGTCAACCAAGGAGTAGAAGAAAGTGACAGATGTAAAAACATTTATGGCTTAATTATTTTTGACCAGTTATCTTAAAATCCCTGATTAACCGGCTTTACTATTTATTTTTCTGACTAATTGGTGCATATAAATCACATTGCATGCCAAAAATTTAGGATAAGTTACATAAATTTTGTTCATTTGTTCCAGCATATTGTATATTGAATATGCTAGGCAACTTAAATAACTTATATAATCAAATTATTTGTTTGCAAAAACTTTGCAAATTTCAGGCGACAAGCTCACTTGTGCGTACTGGCTCAAAATTGTGACGAGGGAACTTATGTTAAGTTGGTTGAAGCACTCTGTGCCGAACATCAAATTAACTTGATTAAGGTTGATGATGGGAAAAAACTAGGTGAATGGGCTGGTCTGTGTAAAATTGATAAAGAGGGAAAAGCCAGGAAGGTTGTTGGCTGCAGTTGTGTTGTAGTCAAGGTTGGTTGATACAATATTTGTGTTTTAATAACTGCGTCACTCTTTCCCAATATCTAAATTTTAAAACATATTTCCTGAAACAGTGTATTTTTGTGTAGGATTATGGTAAAGAAACGCATGCTCATGATGTATTGATGGAATATTTCAAGTCTAAACGTTCAACCTAATGTGTAACTTCTATGAGCGTATTATGTTTACAAAGCAATAAAGAGAAATCACAATCTTCAACAATGTTATTTTTTGCCAATTTTAACAATTTTGTTTGATATGCTTTCGTATGTCAAGAAATCACATTTATGTTTTTTTAAAGTTATTGTGCCAAGTACCCTTTTACAACAATTTTGATTATTAATAATGGCTTTGAGTTGAATTACGTGATATTACAAACTTTACATTTAATACAATCGACGTGCTTACTACCAAGTGTTTTTACTAACATTGTAAGAAATATGTAAGAAATTGATTCCTATAAACGTTTATATACTCCAAGGCATTTCTGACAGTTTGGACATGTGTGTTTGCAATCTTGCAAGTCCTCTATGCAAAATGGTATCAAACAGCAACCATACCAACAGCTAATGAAGGGAAAAATACAATAGACAATTCTATTATTTTTGTCCTGATAACAGGCAAAACTTGAATCAATTTTAAGTTTAAAACTAAAGTCAATTCATGAGTGAACCTTAGTTGACTTACCCAACTGCACAAAGTCCACAACAGACCAACCAAGGAAGTACTCCTGTATCACGACTTACAGTTGTCACGATTTGTGCATTGCAATGTGGACAGACCATAGCCAATGGTACTGGACCAAATGTTAATGGTGCCAAAATTGTTGTAGGTTGACCAACAATTGTGGTGGTGGTCATATTCTGTGTTTCATTAAGTGTGTATGGAGGAGGGTGGTTAGGTTGTACAGGATAAGCTCCAGGTTGTGTAGGATAGGCTCCTTCGGGTTGTTTAGGATAGGCTGCCTGAGGTTGTACTGGATAGGCTGCCTGAGGTTGTGCTGGATAGGCTGCCTGAGGTTGTGCTGGATAGGCAGCCTGAGGTTGTGCTGGATAGGCTGCCTGAGGCTGTGATACATGTGGTGCCTGTGTTTCTGATGAATGTGCAGCTAAATGAATGTATAAAGAATTGATAAAGAAGTAATTGTGATCGTATAGTACAGTAGTACATTCTTATAAGCTGTACTTACAAATCTAACTGATAAATGATCAACTGACTTCAACACATGACGCAATAGAATGCATACATACAAAAATATTATGTGGTTCTTTTTACTGTAATTTTTACAAAACAACACTACAATATATTGATTATAATATCATCAACGGTTAAATCGGAATTATTTTCTTTCGTGTCGTCGTGAAGTTTATCCTGAAGACAATCATGACATTAACTAGTGATAAAAACATTTTTACACAAACCTCCAGTTTGGTTGGAAGATTGGCCATTTGCGTCGTACGCCGGTGGAGCACCTAAGTTACCATCCTTAGCAGTATCCATGATGAAAAAAGATCCTGAAGAGAGAGTAAAAAATTCCCTTCTTTGAGTGAAATGATGTTCACTGTCTCTTTCTAGAGGCCTAACAGGTAGTAAAATCTATGTGCGCAATACTGATATCACGTAGGGTGACAATCGGAAGTTGTTAACGGTGAAAGAGAAAGATTTTATTGTTATGGAGTTTGGGAATTCGTCGTAAAAGAGCTTCAGCTCTTAAATTGTTTTATGAATGACGTTGATGCTCACACAGCCAAATTAGTATGGATGCCTTTCAGTTTTCACGGAGAAAACATATTCGCGTTGGAATAAAGACTCCATAGAGCAAAAGGGAATGCAATTGCCAATTGAAAGAGTACGTATTATTCTTTTTCATTTTTATTCAACAACATAAAGAGAGAGTTCCGGCGCATTCATATGATTCGTGAATAATTGTTCTTGCCCCCAAACCACGCATGCGTAAAAATATGTGAACAAAACAAAAGCATCTTTCTTCCATTTTTTCACAAACAATTTCCGAATGCCGTCATTCTCTGAATGACATTGTAATTCGTAACCAGAGGTTGATGTCGCGGATGGATCGCTAGTATAAAATATTGAATTTTACTATAACAGCTGCTCTGTTCCAAGTTTACTCTACTTAGTACACACTACCTTGAAAATGGAGTGACGATGGGAATGGGATACTCTTACAATTAATCAATAAATTATTATGTACGACTCGCAAGGAACTTGGGATAGCTACGAAATTTATTTTACGGCAACACGACAAGGAAATACAATCTGCGTTGAATATTTCTTGTTTGTTACGTTGAATTTATTGGAAAGTCATGGCTCAACCTCCGCCATACAGTCAACAACCGCCTGAAAATCCTCCAGCGTATCCAGGTACTGTAGTATTATCCATCTTGCGTTTGTATTTGTGAACATAAGAAATAAATGCTTTCGTTGAAGTGTCATTTCTGGCATTAGCATATGTTTCCTTCGCTTGACATTATGTCTTTAACAATTTTGTGTTGTCCTTTGAATTCTTTCGGCACGTTTTCATTGACTTAATGAATAATCGTGACAAAAAAACTCTAGGATGCCAAGCATATTCAAGTTGCCGTCCGCGTGATGTCCGAAGAAACTTTTTTGTTTCGCTTTAATTTTTGTCGGCTTAGCAACAAACGAGCGATGATAATTTTGACTTCGGCGAAACACTTATGTATTTAGTTACCTAAATGTTAGTCTTGGGTTGGGGGAATAGTTTGAGATTACGCCACCAAATACTTATTTTCCTGTATGCTTGACGCTGACCCAAATCTTATTTCTAATCACAACCTAGCCTGATTATTGTTGGAAGGCTTTGGGAAGGTCGGGATTATTATTTCACTTTGTGAATTTGGAAATACTTATTGAAGGTAGCTCATCCACACATATAGTTAACTGTAGCTACTGGCTAACCACTATTGCGTATTATATAACAACCAGAAGAATTTGAGCAATTTCATTGGCGGACATATGCAGGGAATGAGGTCACAGAAAATTTCTTGTTTATAAAAACAAACAAATGGCGGATATGTTTGAAAATTTATCGCAATGCCTCCCTGAATGGGAAAATAAAGATATTCACAAAGACCTAGTTGAGGCAACGTATTTGAGCAAAAAGAAAAGAAAAACCCGGTTTTCAAACATTAATTTGTACTTCGTCTTTGATAACAAAATTTCAACAAAATTGATCAGCCATTGCTTGTTTATTTTGTTAGCCAATCACATTTTATCACGTGATTTAAGCTAGCCAATAGCATCTCTTCAATTCTATAGATCACGTAAGCCTGATATTTGCGAAATCTAGACTTTTTAATGTTCCAAGTGTTGGGTGCAAGGGAAACAAACTGTTTGACCATTTAATTTGAGAATTTTTTTGATTTTATTGTATAACTCGCCCCGGTGGCTCGTGGTCACTTTTTTAGTTTTTATCACAAATGACGTCTTACCCGTGTATCTATAACTGTATAGACAACAGTTAAATGTTATCTATTTGTTAATTATTATATGGCAATATAACTAGGTAGGAAAGAACTACCAACTTTCATATCATTGATCTTGATGTCTGAACTGGATGTAACGTAAACTATGTATTTTCGAAAAAAACGAAAATTGTTTCGCTTGAGTGCCTGTGTAAACTTAACAGCTCGACTTGTGCAAATTGTAGTTTTGCATATCATCTCAAACAGCAAAACACTTGTGGCCTGGATGTACTTGCATTTATGTTCAATTTATGTGCCCTATAATCACAGTGCTTTTGTGAGTAGAATATAAAGGAATAAGCAAATTAATGTATTTTTTACAAGTCTCAAAGCATTACCATACATCATAGACGTAACAACAAAATAACAGAGCCCAAATGCTGACTTAAATGACATTATCTGTTGTCATTTATCCACACTAAAGTAAACATGATTTGTATTAGTTGAATGAACTAATTATCGTACTCTTTACAAAACTTTCACACAAATAAGATATATGTGTAGTCTTAGCTATAAAATTCACATTCAGTAGGCAATCACAATCATCAATAAGATGTCATTTATGCGAAGGAAGCAAGAAACTTCATGTAATGTACTTATATTTAGTCCATAGCCGAAGGACAATTGATTATTTGGTTGGCTCAAATTCATATATGCATGTTATAAACTGTAGAAAACAATAGATGACCTTGATTTAGTACATTTGGCAATGTGTCTGTAAACCTAGTTCGGGTTGACCAAAGCCATGTGAGGGAAATTTGGCGGGGGACAAGTAGCAAGGCTTCACGTGCCGTCCCTGATTTCGACTGATTGCTACAACACGCGCCACACTTCCAAACTTCCAGCCCGAGTTTGGATCGCCCTGACGCGACAACAAGATATGTGATGATGATGATGATGATTTAGTCTACTTAAGTATTTATTTGAGATGTTTATCTGTTCAGCTCACTATAGTCACAATACTTTGTTGTTGAGTTGAATGGAAGACAAAAATCGAAGGAATTGCTTTTTTCAACAATTCATGTATAAATTACAAATATTCTTCGTGTGAATTTGCTGATATTTTCAACCACAAGCAGGGAAATGCAATGAAATATTTGCAATGTGGCACGTTCAAATTGTTACTAGCAAAGCCTTCACGTTTTCAAAGATTAAGCAGTTGAAAGTCTGCACAGAATTTTTAGAACAAATTTTTTTCGGACCGCACTGGTCATTGCTGCATTTGACTTGGTGCTTCAAGCCTTCTTTCATATATAGGAAAAATCAAATCTTGATAAAATTTTATTCGCAATCCGTAGAAATTTGTATAAATAATGTACAAATATATTTATATGATATTGATCAACGTTCAACCGTCTACTTCATTTTGTGGCCATGTATTGGCCAGGCTACCCACATGTAGGCGTTACTTCGTTTTGTGGCCATGTATTGGCTAGGCTACCCACATGTAGGCGTTACTTCATTTTGTGGCCATGTATTGGCTAGGCTACCCACGTGTAGGCATTACTTCATTTTGTGGCCATGTATTGGCCAGGCTACCCACATGTAGGCGTTACTTCATTTTGTGGCCATGTATTGGCTAGGCTACCCACGTGTAGGCATTGCTTCATTTTGTGGCCATGTATTGGCCAGGCTACCCACGTGTAGGCATTACTTCATTTTGTGGCCATGTATTGGCTAGGCTACCCACGTGTAGGCGTTACTTCATTTTGTGGCCATGTATTGGCTAGGCTACCCACGTGTAGGCATTACTTCATTTTGAGGCCATGTATGGGCTAGGCTACCCACGTATAGGCATTACTTCATTTTGTGGCCATGTATTGGCTAGGCTACCCACGTGTAGGCGTTACGTACCTATTTTTTGCGAAATTCCTTGCGCTTGTCGAAATTACTTGCAAGACCTCTCTTCTGCTCTCAACTCAAAAACTCATGAGAAGTGTACACTGACGAGCTTCGTTTTCCGTGGCAAATTAAGCAAATTAGTTGAACTGTTCATTTTTGGCAATAATATCTCTGACAAATAATCTGACAATGAGATTTTCATTGAAAGAACTCGATGACTGCTTCACTTGAGAAAATGCGGGTTGAAATTTTTTTCAGGCAAACAGCCTCACCCAACCTCAATCGAGCCTTGCCCCGTATGCCTATGATTAATTTTATATTGTGTTAATGGATGCTTGTTATAAAGCTGTACAAAAATATATTGCATATCGTACATAGGAGATGCAAAACAGGCTTTTCCACCCCAAAGCGGTCAATATCCTCCTCCACAAGGTTACTCCCAACAACCAGGCTACCATGCTCAACCAGGCCATCCTGCTCAACCAGGCTATCCTGCTCAACCAGGCTATCCTGCTCAACCAGGCTATCATACTCAACCAGGCTACCAAGCTGTACCTCTGCAGCAGCAAATGTCCAATATAAACACAACCACAATTGTGGCAACACAACCAGGGCCTGTAGTCGTAACTGGAATGATGTTTGGTGAGGCACCAGTTAGCATGGTGTGCCCTCGTTGCCAGGCCCAAATAGTTACATCAACTGTGTATCAAGATGGCTCATTTGTGTGGCTAATGGCTGCCATTCTGTGTTTCATTGGGTAAGCTGTTCAGTAATATTCTTTGTATTTTGTTCCATTATATGAAACATTAAATACTTTCAACTTGTATTGTCGTCGCGTCACTAACTTTCATGGTTGTAAGTAATAAAAAGAGAAAAGAATTTTGAAAGATAAATTTAAAAACATTCAAGCTTTTTATTGAACGTCATACTTAGAACACTTATTGAGTCGTTTTGATTGGTCAATTCATTTGGGCTATAAATACAGTTGCAAAATAATAGTTGTAGGTAAAAATCCCTAATTGAAAAATATGACTTTCCCAAGAAAGTTAGCAACATTACGTTTTGTAAAATTGGAGGAATATGGCACGAAATGATTTCTATTTATTAAGTATTAAGAATTGTTTTGGGGAACGATGCTTATCTTTTCTAATCCTGCTGTAGTTGCTGGCCGTGTTGTCTTATTCCGTTCTGTGTTGACGGCTGTAAGGACGTGACACATCATTGTCCAAACTGCAGAAGCCATCTTGGTTCTTACCGCCGAATGTAATCAAAAGAATTTGTTTCGAAGTTCTGGCAATAATTCAAATTTCATTTTTGTTTAGTTTCAATAGACATGTAGCACTAGTGTAACGTCTATGACTATGATGATATAGTTGGACTTTGGATAACAATACCAATACCTCTGTCGCACGTTCGTTAATATTTTCGTTGCGGGAACTTTTATAGTGTTCAATTATAGAGACGAAGACTGAAGAATCTTTAGTATGACTAGTATTTGATAGTGATAGTTGTTGCGAAGAAGA